GAACATTAGCTGGACACAAGCCAAAGGAACAGCGACTTCAGGGACCACACATGACAAATAATCACAGACTTTACAAAAAGAGTTTAGAAAACTCACTAAACATGTAGCTACAGTAAATAACAAAAACAAATTCTGAGGAGAGATAAGAATCCAGTTTCCATAATTATTATAATATTCAAAATGTTCAGCATAAAACTTAAAAACATGCAAAGAAATAAAGTATGGCCCATTGGTAGAAGAAATTAATGGAAACTATTGCTAAGGAAACATAGACATTGGACTTAATAGACAAAATTTTTAAATAAACTTTAGAGAGGGGCGCCTGGGTGGCTCAGTTGGTTGAGCTACCAGCTTTGACTCAGGTCATGATCACATGGTTTGTGGGTTTTAGCCCCACATCGTGCTCTGTGTTGACAGCTCAGAGCCTGGAGCCTTCTTAAGATTCTGTGTCTCCCTCTCTCTTTGCCCCTCCCCTGCTCACTCTCTCTCTCTCAAAAATGAGCATTAAAATTTTTTTAAAATAAATAATAAACCAAAGGGAATAAACATTATAAAATAATAGCTAAATATCATCAATACTCCAGTTTCAGTAATGGATAGGGCATATAGACAGAAAAATCACTAAGGAAAATGTGATTTGACCAACACTATAAACTGCCTAGATGTATGGGACATATATAGAACATTCTGCCCATCAACGACAGAATATATTTTCTTTTCAAATGCACATGAAACATTCTCTGAGACAGACCATATGTTACACCACAAAGTAAGTCTCCATTTTAAAAGTTTGAAATCATATAAAGTATCTTCTTCAACCACGATAGAATGAAGCTGGAAATCAGTTACAGATGGAAAACTGGAAATATGTGGAAATTAAACAACACACTTTTAACTAATGAAGTCAAAGAAGGAATCACAAGGGAAATTTAAAAATACTTAAAGATGAATGAAAGCCCTAGCAGCATACCAAAATTAACGGGATGCAGCAAAAGCAGTACCCAGAGGGAAATTTATAGCAGCAAACACTTACATTAAAAAAGAAACATTGGTGAGGCTGTAGAAAAATTAGAACCCATTATACTTTGCTGGTGGGAATGTAAAATAGTGCAGCTACTGTGGAAAACAGTATAGTTCTGGAGATAGATGGTGGTAATAGTTGCACCACAGCATGAGTGCACTTAAGGCATCTGAACTGTACACCTTCAAATGGTTAAATGGTGGGGTGCCTGACTGGCCCAGTCGGCAAAGCCTGCAACTCTTGATTTCTGGGTCGTGAGTTTGAGCCCTACGTTCAGCATAGAGTTTGCTTTTTAAAAAAATGTATAAAATGGTTAAATGGTAAGTTTTATGTATATTTTCTCACGATATTTTAAAAAATGACCTCAAATCAATGATCTAACTTTACACCTTAAAGAACTAGCTCAGGACGAGCAAACTAAACCCAAAGCTAGCAGGAGGAAGAGAATAATAAAGATTAGAGAAGAGATGAATAAAGAATAGAAAAAGAAGAGACAGTCGTCCAAACCAAAAGTTGTTTCTTTGAGAAGATCAACAAAATCAACAAACCTTTAAACTGACGAAAATAGAAGACTCACATAACTAAAATCGGAAACACAAGTGGGTACATTACTACCAATCTTACCAAAATAAAAAGGATTTTAAGACCGTTCTATGATTACATCAATAAATTAGGTGACTAGATGAAATAGATAGATTTCTAGAAACAAAGGAGAATTGTGCAGCTATGAAAAAAAAGTGTAAAAAGTTGAAGAAGGTATATAAACTCATAGCCAAAATGAAATACTGTTTCATACCTAGTAGTGGTAAACAAGAAACCCCGGGTGGCTGGGTGGCTCAATTGGTTGAGCATCTGACTCCATTTCAGCTCAGGTCATGATCCCAGCATTGTGGGGATTGAGCCCCCAAGTCAGGCTCCCTGCTGAGGGTGGAGTCTGTTTAAGATTCTCTCCTTCTGTCCTTCTTCCCTACTCACTCACTCTCTCTCTAAAAATGAAAAATAATAATAATAAATTTAAAAAAGAAATATGAAAATAATGAAGTTTGTGTTGGTAAATTAAAAAAACAAGTTACTAAGTATATACCATATAGCATTCCATCTATCTTCTGTTTTTACAAAAGAAATAAAAATATACATGTTGCTTATATGTATACATAAAATATTTTTAAAATATATAAAACAGAATGTGTAAAATTATATTTTATTTAAATTGGAATATAATACTATATTTAAATATGTTTTAAGTTGCTGTGTCTTCAGGTTCAGTGGTATTTCCTTTAGTGTCTAATCTGCTATTAATCTCATTCAATAATATTTTCATTTACTGTGTTTTTTTATCTCTAAAATTAGTTTGGGGCTTATTTATATTTTTCATTTCTTTCCTCTTATATTTATGTTTTTCTCTGCACCTGTGATCACATGAAGTATTTTTTTTTAAGTTTATTTAACTTGAGAAAGAGAGAAGGGCAGCATGAAAGGGGAAGGACAGAGAGAGAGAGGGAGAGGAAGAGAATCACAGGTAGGCTCCCCGCTGTCAGCACAGAGCCCGATGTGGGGCTTGAACCCACAAACCGTGAGGTCAAGACCTGAGCCAAGATCAAGGGTCAGACACTTAACCGACCAAGCCACCCAGGCACCTCTAAAGCATATTTATAATAGCGGGGCATCTGGGTGGCTCAGTTGGTTAAGCATCCGACTTCAGCTCAGGTCATGATCTCGCAGTCTGTGAGCTTGAGCCCTGCTTCAGGCTCTGCTGAGAGCTCAGAGCCTAGAATTTGCTTTGGATTCTGTGACTCCCTCTCTCTGCCCCTCCCCTGCTTGCACTCTGTCTGTCTGTCTCTCTCTGTCTCTCAAAAAAATTTTTTTAAATGTGAAAAAAAAAGTATACTTATAATAGCTATTTTAATATCTGCAACTTGGGTGTGATTATTCTGAGACTTTTGTTTAAGCTCTTTGGTGTTAAACCTAGAGTAGACTTTATTCTAAGGCTAATGTAATTCATTTCCTAAAGCATGGGTCTTCTGGTATTTCTGCTAATGCCCTCTGAGTTCAGCTAGATCTCTCTCCTCTGGTTGGAATTCAACCAATTTTGGGTCCTGCAAGAGCTCTGGAAATTATTCTGCTAATAGTTCCCCATGGGGCGCCTGGGTGGCTCAGTTGGTTGAGCGTTGACTTCGGCCCAGGTCATGATCTCGTGGTCTGTGGGTTTGAGCCCTGCGTCGGGCTCTGTGCTGCCAGCTCAGAGCCTGGAGCCTGCTTCAGATTCTGTGTCTCCCTCTCTCTCTGCCCCTCCCCCGCTCATGCGCTCTCTCGCTCTCTCTCGCTCTCTCTCTCTCTCTCTCTCTCTCTCTCTGTCTCTCACTGTGTCAAAAGTTAACATTAGAAAAAAAAAATCCCCAATAATCATTCTTTTCCTTGAAGTTCTTGCCTGGTGTCACAGGGTTTCACCCTAAACATGCACAGGTTGGTATTTAGCTGAATACTCAACAGACTGTGCCTGTTTCTGGAGCTTTTCCTTTGCACAGCTCCCTCCCCTCAGGTACTCTGTCCCAGAAATCTAAGCAATCTCAGCCTATCAAACTCTGATTTGTTTCAACTCAGTTCAGCTTAATTCCTGGGCTCTGTTTGGGTACGCCTCCCTGGACTGCAGTTCACAAATTGCCTGCAGCCAGAAACCCTGCATAATGGTAGGATTCACACTGCTTCCCTTCTAATAAGAGTCACAGTCCTGCGCTGCCTGTTGTCCAATATTTTGTCCTTTTTCCCCCCATTGTTTATGGTGGTAGGATAATTCCAGACCCTGATACTTTCTCATAGTCTGAAGTGGAAGTTCTTCAGGGTATTCAAAATTGACATCACCAATGAATAGTACAGTAATATCATGTATCTCTGAATGTGATACCCTTGGAAGGAGACAGTAGCACTATATGTCACTGTGTTTTTCCAGCCTGGGCTGAATCTCATGAAGAAATAACAAACCCAACATGAAGAACAGTCCATTAAAAAATAGTGATGGGGGGAGGATGTATTCTTCACAAATGTCAATGTCATGAAAGAGAAAGCTGAAGAAGTACTCTGGATTTAAAAAAAAAAAAAAAAAAAACTGAAGAGACACAAGTACTAAATGCATCATCCTATTCTGGACTGAATCTTGTGCTTAGCCCAGGGGTCAGGGGGCAGATGCTATAAACATATTGGGCCAGTTGGCAAAATTGGATTGAAGTATGTTAGATAAGAGTATATCGGCATTAAATTTTATAATGCTGGTAACTCTGCCTTGGTTATATAAGAGAATGTTCTTATGAAATACACCCTGAAGTATAATAGGGCTTAAGAGTTACGATTTATGCAACTTACTCTCACACGCGTCATAAGAAATGCAGAGAGATGCATTAAATGGCAAAGCATATAGTGCAAAAGGTTAACAGTTGATGAATCTGGATAAAGAATATTCTTGTGCAACTTTTCTGACAGTTTGGGAATATTTTCAAATAGAAGTTTTTTTAAAAATATATGCTTTAGAATATGTTTGGCAATACCCATTAAAGCCAAATACATATATCCTGTGATCTAGCAGTTCTACTTCTGGGCATATCCTGAAGAGTAATGAGTAAGTTATATCTCAGTGAAAAATTAAAATTATAAATAAGAACAGATAACTCTTTGAATAAGTCCCCAGTTCTTTTTAACATTCATTTGAAAATGTACAGTTTTACTTGTTATAATCTTATAATGCAGTGGTTCTCAGAGTATGGTCCTCAGACCAGCAGCATCAGCATCAACTGGAATCTTGTTAGAAATGCAGTTTTGCACCCTCTCTGTTTAGACCTACAGGGCTTAGCAATATGTATTTTAACAAGCCCTCTATGTGATTCTGAAGCATGCTGTAGTGGAGAACCCCTGCTTGAATGAACATATGTCAGGAACTACTATTGTCTTCAAAAGCATTATTATTATTTTTTTTTTTTTTCATTTTCAGCTTCTCCAATTTGGGAAATACCTGCTATATGAATGCTATTTTACAATCTCTGTTTTCACTCCAGTCATTTGCAAATGACTTGCTTAAGCAAGGTATCCCATGGAAGAAAATTCCACTCAATGCACTTATCAGGTAATTGTTACATATTTACTAAATAAACGTTTACCTTATTAATTATAGAATAACAGTTGCAGACACTTAAAATTTTATGTGCCTTAGACACTTAAAGCTTAAAGTTTTAGGGGCACGTGGGTTGCTGTCAGTTGAGCATCTGACTTCGACTCAGGTCATGATCTCACAGTTGGTGGGTTTGAGCTCCCCGTGTCGGGCTCTGTGCTGACAGCTCAAAGCCTGGAGCCTGCTTTGGATTCTGTGTCTCCCTCTCTGCCCCTCCCCCACTCACGCTCTGTCTCTCAAAAATAAATGTTAAAGTTCAAAGTTTTATTGGTAATAGTCTTTCAGATATCATGTTATCCAAACTTTTGTAAAACTTCACTAAATTTGTCTCTTGTTTTAACAGACGCTTTGCACACTTGCTTGTTAAAAAAGATATCTGTAATTCAGAGACCAAAAAAGATTTACTCAAGAAGGTTAAAAATGCCATTTCAGCCACAGCAGAGAGATTCTCTGGTTATATGCAGAATGTGAGTACTCATTGTTTTTAAACACTTTAGAGATAAGGGAAATTGATTTCAGTGTGTTACCTGATTTTTATTTTAAAATCAGATTTGTGTTGGGGCGCCTGGGTGGCGCAGTCGGTTAAGCATCCGACTTCAGCCAGGTCACGATCTTGCGGTCCATGAGTTCGAGCCCCACGTCAGGCTCTGGGCTGATGGCTCGGAGCCTGGAGCCTGTTTCCGATTCTGTGTCTCCCTCTCTCTCTGCCCCTTCCCCGTTCATGCTCTGTCTCTCTCTGTCCCAAAAAAATAAATAAACGTTGAAAAAAAAATTAAAAAAAAAAAAATAAAATCAGATTTGTGTACATGTGTTCATCACAGGTTGTAAAACCTGAGGACTTAGGGTCAGGTTTAATATGACTCTTCCGTGTATTTTATTGTATTTTAATAATACAGATATCGTTTGCCATTACGGGAACTTGGGCTATTTTAGCTACAAAAGCTAACATACTTTTTCTTAAAGTAGGAGTGATTCATTTATTTATTCATGCTAGTCCCCCTGGTAGTTAAAAATATAAAATCCGTCATTTATTCTTATTCACAAAATATGTACCCCCAAATTGTTAGAATAAATCTGACCTTTTTTGTGTTAATTAACTTCCAAATGCTTTAGTTGTATAAATCACAATGTTAGCAAGCTATTTTTGTGACAAGAAAGGCTTTGATCTTATAATTAAAGATATTGTGCCTTCTTAGGATGCTCATGAATTTTTAAGTCAGTGCTTAGACCAGCTGAAAGAGGACATGGAAAAGTTAAATAAAACTTGGAAGACTGAACCTGTTCCTGGAGAAGAAACTTCATCAGATATTTCAGCTACCAGGGTATACACTTGCCCTGTTATTACTAACTTGGAATTTGAGGTTCAGCACTCCATCATCTGTAAAGCGTAAGTAGTCTCTAGGAAAACTCTTTGCCTTTTTAATTCTTTATGGCACGTGATTAAAATTCTTTGAGAAGGTTTTAATTCTTCCTTTCTATGTCATAAGGACACATAAATGCATAGATTCTACCAAATATCTCTTTTCAGTGTCTTTATCTTCTGTAAAAATGCTTTGTAGGGTGAGAACTAAGGAGAACTGGACTATTTTGTCATGTGCTTTAGTGCTGACTAAGCACTTAATTTTGGTCTGTAAGTTTGGTTTTGGTTGTTTTTTTTTTTTTTAATCTTTGCGTGGAATACTGAGTACTCTGGGAGTACTTGTTCTTTTTCCCTGGAAAGACTCCCTCTTATTAGTTGCTTATATTATTAAACCAAATTGTTTGTATTAAAAATGGGATTTTTTTTTTTACAGGATCAGAATTTGAATTATTTTAATTTTTGCAGTGGTTTTTAACCATTTTCCATTCATTATTCAGACTTTCTACATTTAATTAATTTCCATGCTCACTGTCTGGACTTCTGTACCTCGCACTTCACCTCAAAAGGTTCTATTTTGATTAGTCTCCTAGTTATTGATAGTACATCTCTGAATGTTTTTCAGAGAGAGTGGAATTCTTCTATATAGGTAAGAATTAGTTTTGTGGCTTTCGCACATGACTTAATACAGAACTATTGAATCACACATAACCTTTCCCCCTTAATATCTTATATACACTTTCCCATCATATCCTATTACTCTGTGACATTTGGGAGAAACCTGATTTTGTGGGTAATGTTTTTCTTCTGAAAAGCCGTGGTGTTCTTTATTTTTGAAATTCAGTTTCACAAGTTTACATCTAAATATTTTGTTTAATTTTCCCTTAAACGTGATACAGCTTTTTCATCTGAAGATTTGGGATTTTCTTCGACTCAAGGAAACCATTCTTTAAATAGTGCTTCTCTTCCATTTGTTTTGGAGTTTTCTTTAGAAATAGTCAATACCTGGGGCACCTAGGTGGCTCAGTGGGTTAAAGCATCTTGACTTGATTTCAGCTCAGGTCATGATCTCACTCATGATCTCACTCATGATCTCATGAGTGAGCCCTGCATTGATCTCTGCACTGACAGTGCAGAGCCTGCTTGGGATTCTCTCTCTCCCCCCCTCTCGGCCCCTCCACTGCTCATGCACGTGCATGCATGCGCACAAGTGCTCCCTCCCTCCCTTTCTCTCTGTCTCTCTCAAAAGTAAATAAATAGGGGCGCCTGGGTGGCGCAGTCGGTTGAGCGTCCGACTTCAGCCAGGTCACGATCTCGCGGTCCGTGAGTTCGAGCCCCGCGTCAGGCTCTGGGCTGATGGCTCAGAGCCTGGAGCCTGTTTCCGATTCTGTGTCTCCCTCTCTCTCTGCCCCTCCCCCGTTCATACTTTGTCTCTCTCTGTCCCAAAAATAAATAAACGTTGAAAAAAAATTAAAAAAAAAAAAAGAAATACTCAACACCCATATATTGGCTGTCCATTATCCATTCTGTCTTCCATATCTCTGTTTTTCATAGACTGTTCATGAGGTCTCTTCCAGCTATAACATTCCAGTAATTTGGATTAGAATTTTGAACATTCAGATGGACACTATACAGATAATTTATATTACTAGTATGTGTGACATTTCTTGCCATCGTAATTTCTTCAGTCTTTTTTCCCCAATGGATAAATTATTTTAAAAGAAAAAGTCCAGGTCTTATAAATACAGCCCATCTCTTTTTACAAACTGGAAGGCCCACCAGCAGTTAATAATGTGGTAGCCAGTCATCTTTCTCTTTCTTCTAATGCACTTCCATACAAAATCTGTTCAAGTTAAAGAAAATTTTGATGATTATTTGTGATTGTATCATTTTAATTGTGAGGGTGCCAACCAAACTTCTTTTCATAGGAGAATTTCAGTTGCCTCTGATAGAAATGGCTCCAGGTAGCACAAGAAGAAAGAAGTCATATCAGAGCAGTGGCTACTACACTGTGCCAATGGCAGCAATCAGGCACTTCGCTTGTGCAGCATCCAGATGTTGGGTGTACACTTGGGGTGTGTGCGCCATGCATGAAGTGACATATTTCATGGGATGTAGACACGCCAGGTGGCCAGGCTGAACAGTGGCCCAAGAATGTGGCAAGTCTAGGAGGCAGAAAGGCTCTATGAGGCCACAACAGCTGTGGTACTACTTCCTTAAAGGCCTTGCTTTAGTTGCTTTATTAGGATTTTTTCTTTAAGACTGTTCTTTTTTTTTTTCCAGTTTTTTTTAATGTTTATTTATTTTTTGAGAGAGAGGGAGATGGAGTGCAAGCAGGAGAGGGGCAGAGAGAGAGGGAGACAGAATCCGAAGCAGGCTCCAAGCTTTGAGCTGTCAGCACAGAGCCTGAAGCGGGGCTCGAACCCACGAACCGTGAGATCATGACCTGAGCTGAAGTTGGAGGCTTAACTGACTGAGCCACTCAGGTGCCCCAAGAGCATTCTTTAAACACAAAATAGTTTTTGGCTGAAGGAAGACTGCATGCACCTCAGATTGTAATTATCATTGTTTAGCCTCTGATACATCTTGCCGTAAGTTAGTGTGGCCAGTTCGCCAAAAGTACTTATTTTTTTAAGCTGTTGTAGTTTAATTTGGCTTGTTTTCAGTTGTAAGGTATTTCAATATAGTAATATTGAATATGAAGAATTCTGCATTCAAAGAACTTAAATTATATAAAACTAAGTACTTAATATTCTCTATAAAACCTTCTGCGGTCTTCCCTATCTCAGTAGTAACAGTTCCATACATAGGGTTTATCAGCCCAAAAGGGTGGTGTATTTCTTAACTCTTCTCTTTCTCTTGCACCCCTGCGTCTCATGTGTCAGGAAATCCTTTCAGCTCTTCCTTCAGAGTACATCCAGGATCTGACCTGTTGCCACCAGCTGATCAGAGCCACCATCATCTCTTGCCGGGATTGTTGGAGTACCTTCTAAACTGGTCTCTATGTTTCTGTCCTGTCTCTCTGTAGTCTAAACACATTAGCCAAAGTGATCCATATGAAGTAGAAGTAAGTTAGTTCATGTTAGGCTTTTCCTCATAACCTATAAAATAAAAGCTGAAATTCTCACTGTGATCTGCAGAATCCCATATGATCTGTCAGCAGCCCCTTTTCCCCCAGTTAAGTGGCTTTGTCTCCTACCAGTCTTTCCCCTTGCTTATTCTGTTCCAACCAAACTAGCTTCCTTGTTTGTTTGTTTGTTTGTTTGTTTGTTTGTTTGTTTTCCCCAAAACCAGGATCCTGGGACCTAAGGGCCTTTTTCACTTACCTTTATCTCAAATTCTCTTTCCCCATATTTTCCTCTATATCTTTATGTAAAGGCCACTTGCTCAGTAAGGCATTTTCTGGGAATTTACCCTATTTAAATTCTAACCATCTACTCTGATCTCTACTTTTTTTTTTCCCTTAGCATTTATCACTAACATACTATACATATTACTTACATATTTTTTATTGCCTTTTTCCTCCAGTATAGCTTTGTGCAGGGAGGTATTCTATCTTGGGTTTGTTCATTGCTGCAACTTCAGTGCTACTAGAACAGTTTCTGGCAGATAGGAGGCATGTTTAGTGATGCATAAGAAATTGCCCAAATTTATCAGCTTTTAAACAATATCTGCTAATTAATTCACAGCTCCATAGGTCAGAAGTCTAGGCAAGGTGTGGCCACGTTCTCTGCCCATGGTATCAGAGGCTGAAATCAAGGTGTTCCATGTTCTCATCTGGATCCCCCTCTAAGCTCTTTAAGGTTGTGGGCAGAATTTAGTTCTTTATGACTGTAGCAGTGAAGTCCCCATTTTCTTGCTGGCTGTTGGCTGGAACTACCAATTTCCTAAAGGCTGCCTGTAGTTTCATGCTCTGTGGCTTTCTTTTCTTTCTTTTTTTTTTTTTAATGTTTATTTTTGAGAGAGAGAGCATGAATGGGGAAGGGGCAGAGAGAGAGGGAGACACAGAATTGGAAGCAGGCTCCAGGCTCTGAGCCATTAGCCCAGAGCCCGACGCGGGGCTCGAACTCACGGACCGCGAGATCGTGACCTGAGCTGAAGTCGGAAGCTTAACCGACTGAGCCACCCAGGCGCCCCTCTGTGGCTTTCTTAGGCAATTCATAGCAGTTGCTTTCTTTCGGGTCAGCAGTAGTGTCTCTGTCTTTGAATCCCTGACTTCCTCTATTTCATATCTCTAGATTCAGATTTAAAGAGCTCATGTGATTAGATCTGAGCTACTCAGATAATCTCCTTTTTTATCAACTCAACATTAGGATTAGTAACATTAATCATATTTGTAAAATCCCTTTGTCATGTAAAGTAACATCATCTTGGGAGTGATAGCTCATCACAGTCACACATTCTCTTAAAGGGGATGGAGTTATACAAAGGCAAGGGTCGTCTTAGAATTCTGCCTATTAGAGAGGGACTCAAATATTTGTTGAATGAACAAATATATTCTGATGATCTCCAGTCTTCAACTATGGCAGTAGAGAACTAGGGCAGGAGATTGAATATTACTAAAAATGCTGATATGCAGATAGAAGGAAAAACATCAACTAAAACTATTTAAAGGAAGTGAATTTACTTCCAGATAAATACAGAGTTTTGATCTCTGAGCCCATTTTTAAAAATTCTGTAGAAATACATCCAATAATAGTGGCACCTAGGTAGCTCAGTCGGTTGAGCATCCAACTTTGGCTCAGGTCTTAATCTCGCAGTTCACAAATTCGAGCCCCACATCAGGCTCTCTGCTGTCTGTGCAGAGCCCACTTGGGATCCTCTGTCCCTCCCCTCTCTCTCTGCTCCCCCCGCAAATAAAATAAAAACATTAAAATACATATATATATATATATCTCCAATAATCAAACAGGTCTGCTGACAGAAGTTTACCAAAAACACATAGAATTTTTATTTATTGTATTTATTTTTTTCAGTGCAAAAAGGTATTTTTGTTAAAGCACAGGGACATGACCTGTGGGCAGAAAGAGTATCCGAACACATAGAATTTTTGAAGCATCACTGCTTGTGTAGTCAAAAGCTGGAAACAATCCAAATGTCCATCAGTAGTATTGTGGATAAATAGTGGCATGCTCAAAACAGGTTAATGTGAGCCAGCAATAAAGATGGGTTATAACCACATGCAGCAAGCATGGTTGAACTTACAATCATGTTGAACAAGAAAGACTACAGAAAACGTAGGTTCAAAAACAGGCGAAACTCATCTGTTGTGTTGGAAGTTAGGATAATAGTTACCTTTTGGGAGAAAGGGATAGTGATTGGGAAGGAGCATGTGAGGGGGCTTCTAGGGACCTTATAATATTTTATTTCTTGATTTGAGTGGTGTTAACTGATCATTCATGAAACTGTACACCTTTAGTTCACTTTTCTGTATGTTATGCTTCAGTTTTTTTTTTTTTCCAACTTTTGGGGCTTTTTAAAAAAAATAAAATGTGAAAACTTAGCGTTCTAATGAAGTATTTAAACACTTGCAGTTGAGGTTCTTCCTGTGTTGATTTCATAAAGGTGAAGTCCACTGTGTTGTACATTGCTTATGCCTAGTCCTAGTCTGTTGGTACCTGATGAGGGAAACAGTGTTTCTGAAGTCTAGTTGTATTTATTTTGTATTGCATAGTTAGACTTCTAAATGCTCCCATTTGTCTTTTATTCATACAGATGTGGAGAGATTATTCCCAAAAGAGAACAGTTTAATGACCTCTCCATTGACCTTCCTCGAAGGAAAAAGCCACTCCCTCCTCGTTCAATTCAAGATTCTCTTGATCTTTTCTTTAGGGTAAGTAATATCTTTTGGTATTTTCACATAACTAAATTTTATATATCATAGATAATAGTATTTGAAATTGGTTTCTTTAAGGCAGAGTTTCAACAAATAGATATGAAGGGAAAACAAGAAATATTTATAAAAAGTATTTTTAAAAGCTTGATAAACCTAGTCGTTAATTTGTTGAAGAAGACTGTTGATTGCTTAAGTAGATTATACATTTAACTCGATAGCAGGTGTTTTAGACCACCTTACAAGCAGTTACTTGTAAACAAGTACCAGCTTGAAGCATATGCTAAAATTAGGTAGTAGTGGTAAAAATTGGAGAAACGATGTAAGTTTGTATCTAAGATCTGAGGAATGAAAAAATACTCTTTGCTTTTCCTTAGGTGGTATGTACCCTATTAGAAACAAAAGGGAAAAGTCATATATATCCAAGGCTATAGATAAATATGTTTCTGTGATTTACTCTTAGAGATATTCAGCAAGTTTTGGGGGCATAATTGGACCTATTGTGTAGCTGTCCTTATAACTGATGGAAATTTGCCAGGATCACCCTTTGTCTATTTAATAGTGGTTCTTGTTTTGTTGTAGCAAATGGGCAGCGTTGTCTTCCTAAGGTTAAAAAAAAAAAATTCTGTTCTTTAAATGATGAACATTCAGCTCCACCCAAAGATAAATACTCTGCTTTTCTTTTTGTTTTATCATTCCTTACTATTCCTGTTATTATCATAGAATATGAAGCTTTTCCTGTGTATCTTTTACCCCCGTTTTTTAAGGATTTCTTGTTTCAGTTTTCTCTAGGTAATGATATCCACCCCAAACTTTGGTCCTTTTAGAGCAGTTGTTCTTAGTGGGCTGTCACCAGAAGATTGAGTTCCATTATAAGAAAGGGGTAGAGTTACACCTAACAGACCAGGAACTCCGCCTAACCTGAAGGTGATCTTATCTCTGCTATGGCCAAATGTTAAAATCTGGATATACTCTTGGCAGTGGTTCTTGTGCATCCATGGGGAAAAGGTTGAGAATCTGCTACTGTAGAGTCTAGTTGCTATCATAAATTGAGATGTTTCCATGGTAAAAAAGGAAATTAGGAATTCTGAAATAGGGCATGATATTATAAGATGACTGTTTTGAGGATTAGGTCTTAATTTAGTAAGGCTTGTGGCTCTAGACACAAAATTTAAACTGGTCGGAGTTGTCATTGCACTGAACTAGTAGTATGACTAGAGAAGAGTATTAGCATTGAATGGGGTAATGCTGATTCAACTTCATGCTTCTTTATTTTTCCCTCTCGTCTTTTTACAGGCAGAAGAACTTGAGTATTCCTGTGAGAAGTGTGGTGGGAAGTGTGCTCTTGTCAGGCACAAATTTAACAGGCTACCCAGGTAAAATTAATTGCTCTTCAGTTTTCCTTCTTTGAAGTATTTACAGATATTACTGAATAAGCAAGGCTCACCGGAATGGATTGGTAAAGCAAAGCGGAGATGTGAGAGGGTAGGGGGAGGGAAGTTAGAATGCTCTTCCATTATAAAGGAAGAATATTTGGAATGCTGAAGAAGGGAAGTCACTTGAGAGTCCCCAGAAGATGGCAGGAAGAGGATGTGGCTGGTGAGACTTTGGACCAGTGGTAGGGATCAGCTAGTACATTTTTAATTTGGTAATGTATAACATTCAGTTGTAATTTGTTGTTTGGTTATGTGCTAGTCTCCCTCTCTTATCCTGAGCCTTCAGTGAAAATCTGCCACAAACACATGATAGGGTGTGCATGAACATAAAACAAGAAGAGTAATTTTCTACAAAGGATCTTGTAAGTTAGTAAGTTTCCTATAATCTAAACAGTTCTGAATTAGGAATGAAATTAACTTGTATTAGCTCTGTGTAAACATACATAAAACCAAACTAGTTAGACACAATGTGATGTGATGATAGTGCAGCTTTTAGTTCTTTCCAAGAATAGATCTCAACCACAAGCAAGGTTATTATTAAGTATTTATGTGGCACTTTGCCTGCAGAGTGCATTACTTTCTTTTATTAGCTTCTCTTTTCTGTAAGCATAGGATTTCTGGAACCTAGCTCCTAGAGACTAGAGATTAGTTCTTTTACATTCCATAATCTTCTTGCTAGAAAATGAATTTCTTTTAAAGGAATGACTTTCTAAATCAGCAGTATTGTTATGTTGACCACTTTTTACTCAAGAGATTTAGTCTTTTCCTATTTGTGAGTGTTTTGAGGCAGGAGGTGGGAGGGAGCAAACCTTAAGGCAAGGGATTGATTGTTATCAGTTATCATTAACTAAGGAAAGCAGTGTATAGTTTTAAATACTCATTTGACCTGGCAAGCTGAATGTCTGTTCCCTTTTCCAGTGGCTAGCTGTTTGGTCTTTTAAGGGGAAAAAAATACTTACGGGAATTATTTTCCTTGGTTTTCTATTTTTTCTGGTAGGTCACTTATGTTACAGGATAATTTATTCTGAACTTTAGAAGCCTTTGTATCATAAATCCAGATTATTGGACTTGCTCTGTTTTTGTTCATTTCAGTATTAAATCCAGTCTACTTTTATTCTTGATGTGCCTGGTGTCTTTATCAAATATGTTCAATTTTAGTCTACTTTATCTTTATAGATCAGTGATTTTGACTATCTATCTATCTGTTTCATAGTACCCTTTTTTGGTAGGATTATATGAAACTTTAGTCAAAATATTTGACATTTGACATGAGTTTTTATTTCTTCGTATCATTTGGATCCTTATGTTCTCTTAGGTTATGAATTTGAAGATTATGAGTTCTAGCATACTTTTTAAAGAGGAATGCAGTCAGTAACTTCAGTTTATAATTTTTTTTAGTTTGTGGCTTCTGTGAAAAGCTATGTACGGTAAGAAAGAAAACAGATTTCCATAAATCAGACATTGTGCCTAAAATTGAGGTTTATTCCCATGAGAGTTCTGAAATTCAAATTTTAAAGTGTTCTTGTGGGCTGTGAGATACATTTAGTCCATCTAGCAGAGATTATGGTCTGTATCACAGGTGAAAAGGTTGGCACAATAGTAACTAAAAAGAAGTGCTTCTACAGAGCTAAAAAGCCTTTTCAGACCCACAAGCCAGATTTGGCATGTACATTTTGTAGAACTTTTTGCAGAGAAAGAAGTGGAGAAAACTTTTTCTCTCTTAGCTCTCTCCAGAGAAGGTGCTACACTGAAGTAAGAGTAGTTCTTGTCAAAAATCATTTTGAAAAACTTAATGTTCACCCTCAAACATAAGGGCTGTTTAACACTTTAATTAAATTACCAGTAATGGTTATATAACACCTATTTTTTTTTTTGTAAACTACATCACATTGAAGTAAATAAGGATTTAACCCAGTACCACATTCTAAAATAAAATGCGTTTTATTTGGTGTTTTTGTTTTCTTTTTTTCTGGGAACATTATAAATATTTTACCCAAACCTCACTTATCCACCCTATGCCCATGTTTTATTTTTACTTATATAGTGGTGCCTGGCACATGGCAGATATTCAGTAAATGTTTTTTGAAGGATCTTTAGTTTAGCCAAATGTATTCTTTAAGTCAAAAGCTATGTAACATGATTAGTTACAGTGATCTCTTTTCACCTGTAAGAGAGCTAGCTAGTATCTGTTAGGTGTCAGCTAATAATGTCATCATGTCCTGTTTTTCAGGATTCTCATTCTTCATTTGAAACGATACAGCTTCAACGTCACTCTCTCACTTAACAACAAGATTGGGCAGCAAGTCTTCATTCCAAGATACCTGACCCTGTCCTCTCATTGCACTGAAAGTACAAAACCACCTTTCACCCTTGGTTGGAGTGCACATACGGCAATGTAAGTCCTTGAGAGAGAATTTCTTTATCTTCCCTTTTGAAGTTAAGGGGCTTTAATATCTGATCAAAACAATGACTGAACTAGATAACATGACTCCCTGGTAAAATCAGACCAAGAAGGAGATTTTAATTTTGCTTTATTTTAGGATTTTGTGTTAAGTTACTTCCTTATGGAAGTAATTAAATAAAATGCTTAAAATTTTTCCAAGTGCATTAATTGCCTTTCATAAAAAGTTACCTTTTTAGAGAGTACACTTACTCTCTTAGATTACTAGAAGATAAGCTTGATACATTTTAGGAATATACATTGGAATTTGCATGTTCATAAAAGTTACCTGAACACTAAAAAATAAATAAATAAAAAGTAACCAATTCCTGTGTTCTTTCCCTAGAAATTCTGTTTCAGTAGATCTGAGAAAATCAGTATTTTTAACAATGCCTTTGCTGACTGTCTGGAATATGCAAGTTTGAGAAACAGTATACTAAATGTTATGCCAGGGCCCCCCAGATTGATTGGGTCTTCATAAATGTATCATCACCAGTGTGAGTGAAGAACTTTTGTGGCTCCTAGAAGTTTTTCCATGAGAAAAGTAGTAACCGTTACTTTTGATCTTGCTTCATCGCATATGCTGGGAAAACCATAGGACTTCTCTGAATGTAGCTCTTCCTTCTGCATACTTGGATTACTTTGGAGCCATGTACTGTAGTTCTTTTTTATACTTGAACTCTAATTTGGTAGAATCATAAAGTTCTCAAACTTTAGAGGTGAAAAAGGATCGTAGAGATTTTGTCTAAATTTTTAATTTTACAGAGAAGATGCAAGAAGATGAAGTGATTTTCTTAAGGTTATGCAGTTAGCAACTGGAAGAACCAGGTCTCTTGGCTAAAGTGGAATAGACTTTTCAGAAAGTGAATGAACGTTTGCTAACATGAATTGATGCCTTTTTATAAAATGTATTTCCCTTGGATTAGAAATGGACATATATACCACATCATATAAGTTTATCCTAAAGGCCTCAATGGGTCTACTTACTAATAAAGACATTTTCCCAGAGTCTTAGTGTTTCTGGATTTTCTCTTACGGCCTTTCTTCAGAATTTGTTTCTGCTTCATGCAAAGTACCCGCTGCTGGTAGAACTGTTACTCTTTCTGGCCATTAGTATAGGCGGTTTATTTCACAGGCTGAAACCAGGCTGTATGACTGACTCCACAATTGAATAGCTTTAAGACTGGACACATTCTTTGACCTGTCTGTAGGGAATATAACAGGATGGTTGTGAACATTAAATGAGGTAATACACGTGAGCTCTTACTACAGTGTCTGATAGCCAGTAAGTCCTCAATAAATGAGAGCTATTAATATTTTATTGCTTAAAAGTAAAGAACTGAGACAAGATAATTTTTCCAAAGTTGTCCTCTTCATATGCATTCCCTTTGACTTCATTTCCAATGCTGTTTATTTAGATCATTGGATCAGGAAGAGCCTAGAGATGGTATCTTGTTTTCTCTTTTGGCTTCTATTGCTAGTAGAAGTATTATAATTTTTTGCTTTTCAAAAGGATACATAAGGGACTATAGTATAGAATAATTCGTTTTATAAGTTAAATATATATTTTAGTAATGTAATTATATACATTATATATTTTCTAATTTTCTGATAGTTCTAGACCATTGAAAGCCTCTCAAATGGTGAATTCCTGCATCACCAGCCCTTCTACACCTTCAAAGTGAGTTATATTTCTTGTGTACCCAAAATTTGTATTTTTAAGGATTTGGCTTGCCCTAATTTCTGAGATTATCCCTTCCCCCTTTCTTTGTTTCTCTTTGCATGATAACTGCTCTGTATTACTATACTTTGTAATTTTCCTGAATCTGCCTTAAACTGTAATGTAGGGTATAACAAAGTCTTTAATAGTGAAGCACATTCAGATGATCCTCTCAAAATTTTGTTTTTAAACTTAAGTCATCTGTTAATATGTAATATTTTCATCCCACAACTGTAGAAATTAACTGATGACAAGGAATTTTAAGGATTGAAGAGATAAAATAACCCCTGTTGGTGTAAAGCACTATTCCTCAAAAATACACCTGGAAATCCCAAATTATCTTTTCGCCTGTTGCTAGCCAGTCTGGGACTTCCTTGTTTTAGACACTTAACTGGCGCAGTTCTGATAGGGAGCAAGAAAACAAACACACAGTGAAATGTAGCTATTCTACAAATGTTTTATATTTTTTACTTAAAATGGAAAAGTTTGTCCAAGAAGAGAAGAAAATACTTTTTTTAAATATATCTCCTCTGTGATTTAACTAGAACCACAGTTCCTGATTAGACAATTCTAAATGACTTGGTTGTCATTTATCTTTAAAATTAAACACTTTGTTGTTTAAGGGCTTTGGGGGGCTAATATAACCATAAAATGACATTTGGGAACTGCTATTTTCTTTTCCTCCTGTTAATTATTTTTCAGTGCAATTAAAACCAGATGACTAACATGACTAGAAATCTGAAATGGTACCGATATGAATACTCTTGCCCGTTCTCAAGATACAAATGAGCAATACCACTTGGCTGCTTAGAAAGTGAGCAAGTGATGCATTTACAAGATGAATATTTTTCCTTACTACAGGCAAGCTGCCTTCTGTGAATATAGTAATTATTAATGGAATGCACTCTTTATGTACCAAATCACTATAGTTTCAAGAAAGAGATGGTTTCATTGGGCATCATTATATTTGGCATGGTCATCAGTTCTCCAGGGTCTACTGGTATGAGAATTTGAGAGCTGATCAATAAAGGATAATTAATTAGGCCCTAGAAGACCTGTCATGCCGATCAAACTTAAAAGAGGCTGAGTTATGAATAAGAATACCATTGGTTCCTCTACAATGTCCTTTGTCACATTTGACCCTGGTATTTTAGTGGCCAGGTGTCACCCTCCTTCAGCAAAGTATTTACATGCATAAACAAATTAATACATTCAGTTTTGCTTGGTGAGCATGAAATCAGAAATGAGGAATTAAGACGGCTGATTGGCTATTTCTAAGTTATGCTAAAAACCCTTTTGAACACCTAATGGGAGGCTATTCAAGTGTGTAGGCTGGAGTGCAGTGATATCCTGGGTGCTCTCAGCCACAGACTATGTTTGGGTTTATCACTGACCACTTGCCTCTTTTCTTTGATCTACATTGCTATGCGATCCTCCTGGTTTCCATTGTGGCCTCTTATTTCTTGGTGCCATCATTCTATATGTTTATTTACAATTTTTACATTTAGATGAATTGCATTTTTCCAATTTCCATTTTACTTTTTTTTTTTTTTTTAGTATAGTATACAAATTTACGTTAACCTTCATCAAAGAAAATTCGTGCTCTTTGACCTTTTCCACTTTTTCTTTTAGTTTATTTTCAGCTCACTTAGAAGACAATGCAGTAACACCTTACTTATCTGGTATCATTGAAGAATGATATTTTACGTAGCCAAAGCTTGCCTTTTTAAGCATCCATCTTTAAAATGCTTAGCCATTTTAGATGGTTCTGTACTCTGTAACCTTACAGAATTCTTTATATTCTTAAATAAAATAAACTGAAGGTAATTTAAATATATTTTAATGACTTAGAATCAGCATTATGAGTATCACCTATTATACTGTGTTTTAATATGATCATGCCCTCAGAGGCTTTTAATTCTTACAAAACAGTTTATATTAAATGACTTTATGGTTCTTTATTGCCCTTTTTGTGGTTATTCTCTCTCATTTCCTAGCTCTCATTTCTTGATGAACTTGCTACCTTATTTTATGCACCATTTCCTGGGAAAGAAAGGGTCCCTGTCTAAAGAGTAAAGTGCATGGGCTTTGAAACTACTGCTTTCCTGAGAAGCCTTTTTTCTTAGTTTTGAATCCCTGCGTTCTGGAAACTAGAGGTTGCCGGAAGTCTGACTTACATATAATTGGATAAGTGGAATGTTACTGTTAATTTTAGAATACATGGATCATAATTAAAAAGATCAAAAATTAGTCCTCATGCACAAAGTTGTCAAAAACATTTATTCATTGCCATGTCTGCATGCATTCAGTAGAGTACTTGCTTTATAAAACCAAAAACTACTTTGGGGTTGATCATTAAAAGAAAAAAGGCACAAAGTGATTGGTTTACAGATGATATATAATAGCATAAGAATTGTCTAATTTTCAAAGCATGGCTGTTTTGGAGTGGGGCAAAGGTAATGCTTAAATATATCTCTTCTGTATCCTTTTTTCTCTGTAAATCATTTTCCATAATGGAAAAGTTTTTTGTTTTATTTTGGTATTATATGCATCAAGGAAATAACAAGGACAAGTATTTATTTATCAGACTCATATAGGTTTTTATTTTCTTAAATTACAGGAATTTCACCTTCAAATCCAAGAGTTCCTTGGCTTTATGCCTTGATTCCGACAGTGAGGATGAGCTAAAACGCTCTGTGGCCCTTAGCCAGAGACTTTGTGAAGTGTCAGGCTGTGAACAACAGCAGGAAGACTTAGAAAAAGTAAGTAATTTCTCATCAAAATACTTGGCAAATATTTGTATAGCTCTTACTGTCCAAACACATGCCTTTATAACCAGCATCAGCAAACATAATACATACACAGGGTAGATCGTAAACTTAATGGATCTGTTGAAACACTAGTTTTAAAGAGTGTACTTTGTATAACTATAAAACAGTCTGTTTAAAAATGGATTGGGGGGCGCCTGGGTGGCGCAGTCGGTTAAGCATCCGACTTCAGCCAGGTCACGATCTCACGGTCTGTGAGTTCGAGCCCCGCATCAGGCTCTGGGCTGATGGCTCAGAGCCTGGAGCCTGTTTCCGATTCTGTGTCTCCCTCTCTCTCTGCCCCTCCCCTGTTCATGCTCTGTCTCTCTCTGTCCCAAAAAAAATAAATAAACGTTGAAAAAAAAAAATTAAAAAAAAAAAAAATGGATTGGGATTTAAGTTATTCTTTTTTTTTTTTTTTAATGTTTATTTATTTATTTATTGAGAGAGAGAGAGAGCGTGCAGGGGAGGGGCAGAGAGGAAGACACAGAATCCGAAGGAGGCTCCAGGCTCTGAGCTGACAGCACTGAGCCTGACACGACACTCAAACTCACAAACTGTGAGATCATGACCTGAGCTGAAGTCAGACGCTTAACCGACTGAGCCATCCAGATGCCCCTGGGATTTTTTTTTAATTGAAGTATAATTGACATATTTGTTTCAAGCATACAGCATAATGATTCAATATTTGTATGTATTGCAAGAATATCACCACAGTAAGTCTAGTTAACATCTGTTACCATACACAGTTACCTCCCCCCAATTTTTTTTCTTATGAGGACTTCTAAGATCTGTTGTCTTATGCAGCTTTCAAATATGCATATAATATATATATTTTTTAATGTTTATCTGTTTTTGAGACAGAGAGAGAGAGAGAGAGAGACAGTGTGAGTACGCAAGGAGCAGAGACTAGTGAAGATACAGACTCTGAAAGCAGGCTCCAGGCTCTGGGCTGTCAGCACAGAGCCCAACACGGGGCTCAAACTCACGAACTGTGAGATCATGACCAGAGTTGAAGTCAGATGCTCAACTGACTGAGCCACCCAGGTGCCCCACAACAGATTATTAACAATAGCCTAATTCTGTACATGACATCCTCATGACTTATTTATTTTATAACTGGACGTTTGTACCTTTTGGCCTGCTTTACCCACTTCACACCAGCACCCGCGTGTGCATGCACACACACACAAACACTCACACTCGCACACACCACCTCTGGTCCCTAGCAACCACTAGTCTGTTTCTACATCTATGAGCTTGGTGGGAAGTTTTTTGTGTTTTTCAGATTCCACGTGTAAGTGAGATCATATGGTACTTGTCTTTTTTTGACCTATTTCATTTAGTGTAATAACTTCAGAATCTATCCATGTTGTTGCAAATGGCAAGATTTCATTTCTTGTTTGTGGTGGAATAGTATTCCATTGTATATGCCACATTTTTACTTATCTATTGATGGACACTTAAGTTGTTTCCAAGATTGAGACTTAAGAAATGAAAGTTGTTACAGGTTCAGAGCTACTTTCACATATTGGTCCTGAAATAATTACTCATTTTTTTTAATACTAATTTTTAATATATGGGAGACTCTAGTAAACGTTTTACATCAACAGGCCAACCAGGTCATCTAAAGGTTTAAATAATTGAGGTGTCTGGGTGGCTCAGTCGGTTAGGTGTCCGACTTCGGCTCAGGTCATGACCTCACAGTTCGTGAATTCGAGCCCCGCATTGTGCTCTGTGCTGACAGCTCAGAGCTTGGAGCCTGCTTCAGATTCTGTGTCTCCCTCTCTCTGTCTGCCCCTCCCCACTCACACTCTGTCTCCCTCTGTCTCAAAAATAAACATTAAAAAAAAATTTTTTTTTTTAATATAAAGGTTTAAATAATGGATGTGAGAAGGTGTAACTTCATCATTTTCAATCTTGACACATAATAATAGTTAATACCTTGAAGATACAAGCTTCTCTAGGAGTTTGCATCATCTCGTGTGACTGTTTGATTTTAAATCTCCCTTTTGGTTAGGTAACACTTTAATATAAAAATAACATAACACTTTAATATAAACACTTTAATATAAACTTTAATATAAATAATTATATTTATAAACACTTTATATTAATAAAGTGTTAATAAAATAATAAAATTAATAAACACTTTAATAAAATTAATAAACACTTTAATATAAACACTTTAATATAAAAATAACAATTTAATAGTTATTTTTTATTGACTTGTTTCTCATCTAATTTCAAAGCTAAAGATAGTTTGTGGTTGCTCACCCTGAATGAGAAATGAAAGTCAGAATGAGAAATGAAAGTCTTTGATTTTTGCTCACATCATGATCTCATGATTAATGGGATTGAACCCCACCTTGGGCTCTGCTCTGACAGCATGGAGCCTGCTTGGGTTTCTTTCTCTCCCTCTCTCTCTCTGCCCCTCCCCTACTTGTGCATGCGCACACACTTGCACTCTCTCTCAAACGTGAAAAAAAGTTTTTAGTTATAATAAGAATAGAAGTAAATATGAGGTGTAGTGAAAACATTTCTAGTGTAGTACACGTGTAACTGAAAGAAAATACACCAAAGATACCTGTAGGAATTATCCCTGAGTGATGGATTTTGAGTGAATTTGTTTTATTATTTTTAGGTATTTTCTAAATTTCTACAAAGAGCATACTTAATAAAATAAACCTGTGTCCCCGTGTATTTATTTAAAAGAAAATTAGGCTTGCCAGTGAGTTTATATGTTGGTTATTGATTGTTAAATAACCTAAAACTTCAAAGAAAGGAAACTTTTTAGAAATAAACTTCTCACTTTAAACTCTAAGACTGCTATATTCATAGGCATTCTGGTTTCCTCTAAAAGTAACTCTCTTCTTCAGGATTCCAAATCATGCAGAATAGAGCCTGATAAGTCTGAATTGGAAAACTCTGGATTTGATGGGATGAGTGAAGAAGAGCTTCTAGCAGCTGTTTTAGAGATAAGTAAGAGAGAAGCTTCACCATCCCTGAGTCATGAAGATGATGATAAACCAACCAGCAGCCCAGATACTGGATTTGCAGAAGATGATATTCAAGAAATGCCTGAAAATCAAGACCCTGTGGAAACGGAGAAGCCCAAAACACTTGCAGAGCCTGGTAGGTTTAATGAAAAGAATCATCTGTTAAGGCACAGCGGTGTTCTGTAGCCTTATCGGGACAAGCAGCTTCTCAATAATGGGAGGTGAAATGAATCTGTGTAACAAGGCTAATAATATTTTCATGCTTCCCCCCCCCCAAAGCAGTTTAAAAAATGAGGAGTAAATATTTTGAGTAGTATCCAGAGGCTGCTGGTAAAGTATGCCTTATCCCTTTAAGTGTACCTCAAAAGGAAAGTTAGGATTCCTTTGTGCACATAAGTAAATGTGTCATTTTTTGACCGCTTTTTTCCTCACCACTGCTCTCTCAGAAATTTGTATAATTCTTTCCTCATTTTTCTGTATTTGAATTTGTACTGAGTTTTAGTGTATAAATTGAGTTCTCCATTCTTTGGGTTCATCCCTTTATAATGATAGAAACACCACTGAACTAAGGTCAAGTTTTGAGCCTCTAATCTTTTTTTTTTTTTTTTTTTTTTAAGCTTATTTATTTTGAAGGAGAGCACATATGAGCAGCAGAAGGCCGGGGCGGGGGGGGTGGGGGGGAGGGTGGCGGTGGGGAGAGAATCCCAAGCAGGCTCAAACTCATGACCTTGAGATCGTGACCTGAGTCAGATGCTTAACCCACTGAGTCACCCAGGCACCCCTGAGCCTCTAATCTTGGCTGTACCACTGACTAGCTATGAATTTCTAAATAGGAGATTTAACCACTTTGACAGTCAGCTTTCTGATCACTGTATGGGGATACACCAGGCATGCTTTGGAAAGTTGTGATTAGAATGCTAGATCAAATATACATATATTGTAAAGGGCTATATGGATAGAAAATTATTTTGTACTAATTATTTCTATTTTGTTATTTCTCAAATTTGTCAATGATAACACCAGAGCTGAGCCTCCTTGCCTTGTACTGTGGGTATTTTAACAGTTTTAGATGTAAAACTTTTACTGTCTCTTCCTGTAACAATCTAATATTTTTCTCCTGATATCCACATTATCTATATCTGTGTAGCTGATGTGTTTCAGTACATCAAGCCTGAAATTTTGGAGATGAAGAGAACAGTAGTATATCATAATTATTTTCTGTATTCTTTGGGGTTAAGTCTTATCAACTGAGTTTATGTGCAAGTGAAAATAAGAATTAGTATATTCTCAGTTTAAATGGAAACAAAAAGCTGATGGTTTTTGGATCTGAGTGTTCCCTTTTTTTCTCTTTCTTGATGCAAGTATCCTTAGGAAATCCCTTTCTTTTCTTAAACTCATAGTCACCACCCTTACATATTATTGGTTAATATCAGTGCTTTTGCCTTTCACCAGTAATTCCTGCATTCACCTCTTCCTTCCACTTCTTTGCTCTGTCTTACATCTCCCTAAAATTAACAAAGGAAGTTATTCTTCTATACAATTAGTTCTACCTTATTATCTGTGCCAATGAGGGAGAACACTGAGTTATCAAAATCAATAACCACAGGTGGCTTGCAACTGTATAGGAGCTTTGGGAAGAGCAAACTTGTTAGTAAGTACTTTATATCCTTTTTGTAAAACTGTCTGTTCTCTAGCTCCTGTCTTCCCCAATTGGAGGCGAGCCTTTGTTGTGTTTCCCGTTTCATTAATGTCATGGTTCCATTCACCTTCTTACTATAACCGAAACCCAAAGACATTGCTTTTCCTGCAAACTTTTTTTTTTTTTAATTTCTGGAAAATATAGACCAAGGACAGAAGTAGAGAGATGAGTATAATGAATCTTCACCCTTGTACCCATTATCAACAACAATTATCAAAAAGTCAATCTTGTTTCATCTATACCCTATCTTCCTTCTCTACCCCATCCCCTAGATTATTTTTCTTAATGTTTATTTTGAGAGAGCGCGAGCAGAGGGAGAGAGAATCCCAGGCAGGCTCTGCGCTGTTTGCATGGAGCCTGACATGGGCTCAGTTTCACAAACCATGAGATCATGATCTCAGCTGAAATCAAGAGTCAGACGCTCAACCGACTGAGACACCCAGGCACCCCTAGAAGTAAATCCAAGATATTAGATCATTTCATCAATAAAGATTTCAATGTCTCTAAAAGAGCTCCTTTTTAAGAAAACATATCCTCAATCCCATTATCATACTTTAAAAAATTAGCAGTATCAAATATGATCATATTCTCCATAAGTTTTTTACTTTAAAAATGTTCAAATCTAGAGAGAAATTGAATAGATACATCATTTAACGTTTCGTCACATTTGCTTTCTTCCCTCACAGTGTGTGTGTGTGTGTGTGTGTGTGTGTGTGATTGTGTCATTGTGTGTGTATGGTTGTGCAGCAGTTACCCAAAATTAGTATCTTAAAACAGCAATAACATTATCTCTCATAACTCTTGGATTGACTGGTCTTAGCAGCTCCTCTGCTTCCTGTGATGTTGGCTGGGGTTTGACTAGGTTGTAACATCCTAGATGGCTCATCTAAGCACCTTGGTGATGTTGGTTAGAAGAGTCTGCTGGGATGGCTAGATATCCTCTCCGTTCTTTTTTCCCCTCCCCCTCTTCATCTTTTCATCTCTTCATGTAATCTCAGGGCCTCTCCTTCTCCTTGTGTTCTCTCTAGCAAGATAGCTAAGCTTCTTACATTACAGTTCAGGGCTCCCAAAAGCACAGAAGGGGAAGAAGCTACCAGGTCTCCTTTATTTAAGCTTAAAATTAGCACAGAATCAATTCCATCACATTTTGTTGCTTAAAGCACTCCCATGTTCACTGTGGGGGTGCCTACACAAGAGTAAAGAATACTGGTAGTAAGAGTACTGCGTAGTTCATTGGAGGCCATCTTTGCAGACTACATACATGTATGTATGCACTTTTTTTTCTTTCTTCCTTTTTTTTTTTTTAAGTTTTTTGTTTTTTATTTTTGAGAGAGAGAGTGCAAATCCCAAGCAGGCTCTGCACTGTCATCACAGAGCCTAATGTGAGGCTTAAACCCACAACCGTGAAATCATGACCTGAGCCGAAACCAAGAGCTGGACGTTCAGCTGAGCCACCCAGATGCCCTGTGTACTTTTCCTTTTTAAAGCAACTGTTTGGAATTGCAGGTATCATGATTCTTCACCCTAAAACACTTCAGCCTCAGTCTCCTAAATATATGGAAATTATTTTACATAACAGTTATCACACTTAGCAATATTAACACTGTGTCCATATATAATTCCAGTGTAGAGGCCACACACGTTTCTCCAATTGTTCTCCAAAATATTTTTTATACTTTTTTCCCCACCTAGAACCCAGAGTTTACCCACTGCATTTGATTGTTAGGTGTCTTTAGTATGTATTCACGGCCAGTTTTTTCTTTGAAAGGCTCCCATTGTGGATTGCCCTACTCTTCTTTAAGCATAAGTCGTTTTTTTGCATACCATAAAACTTCAGACCTTGGAGATGGGATGAGTTTTTTTCTTGTTACTCACTGCCATCACCAGACATCTGTCTCTTTTCATTCTACAAAAATCCCAGCTTCTCGAAGTGTAAGACATTAAACTTTGCCACCTATCTGTCTCTTCCTATAGCTGTCTTTTACCTTTCAGGTTCTCTCATCAACATCGTAGAGCCCTCAGCATCTTCATAAATGATCCTTTCAAAAGCCTGGTTTCTCAGTTCCTGATCTTAATTCCAAAGATCTTTTTTCCTACCCCATCTTGATCACTGACAGTAGTCCTGTTTTAGACCAGTGGTTCTCAGAGTATTTTCACAGATCATCAGTATCACGTGGGAAATTGCTGGAAATGCCATTAATGGCCCCACCCCAGACTTACTGAATAAGAAACTCTGGATGTAGGAGTTGGCATTCTGTGTTTTGACTCCCAAGTCATTCTGATGCATGCTAACGTTTGAGAAACCCTTCCCTTGACTTTGTCGTCATCAGTAACTGTGCCACCTTTGAAATCTTGATTTCAGATACCTTCTCTCCATCCAACTTAACCTCGTGTCCTGTTCTGTTGTCAGTGATGACTTGATCTCATTACGGTTTCCAGTCACGGGAACCTGGGTGGCTCAGTTAGTTAAGTGTCTTGATTTTGGTTCAGGTTATGATTTCACAGTTCATGGGATCAAGTCCCGCCTTGGGCTCTGCACTGCAGTGCAGACCTGCTTGGGATTCTCTCCCTCCCTCTCTCTCTCTCCACGCCTCCCTGCTCAGGCTTGTTCTCTCTCTCAAAAATAAATAAATTAAAAAAAAAAAAAGAAAGAAAGAAAATAGATGTAATCAGATGAACATTCTGCCTTCACTTTTGTTATGGAGGAAATATCCCTGCTCTTTAAGGCCAGTCCCTCCATTCATATTCAGAATTTCATCCACTTGTTTCTTGACCTTCTCTCTTGAAATTATACCTTCTCTTCTGCATCAAGTCTTCCCTCTCTTGTAAATTACTCTTGTGTGCCTTAATCTCTAAAGTGATTAAAAACCCATCTTTTTTTTTTTTAATGTTCATTTTTGAGAGAGAGAGGGAGGGAGGAAGGGAGAGGGGGAGGGGCAAAGAGAAGAAAACAGAGTATCTAAAGTGAGCTCTGTGCTGACAGCAGAGAGCTGAGAACCTGATGTGGGACTCAAACTCATGAACCACTCACAAACCTCGAGATCATGACCTGAGCCGAAGGCGATGCTTAACCGACTGAGCCATCCAAGTGCCCCTAAAAATCCATTTTTATTTTTATTTTTTTAAAATTTACATCCAAATTAGTTAACATATAGTGCAACAATGATTTCAGGAGTAGATTCCTTAGTGCCCCTTCCCCATTTAGC